ACTAACAAAATACCATCATTCTAAATCTAGAAACTTATGGGGGAAAATAATGATTGTTATTGCGAAAGACTGTTAAAGTGTTATTCTTAAAGTTAAAGAGGGCCTAATACAGACCCTTTCTGGGACTTTTCAGGTCAAAGATTTGCTTGATTAAGTTACAATTTTAGCAGCTGTTTATGCCCTTATTCAAAACAATTTCTCATTAAACGAAACCTTGAAGCAATATAAAATCAAATACTGCAATTGCCATTAAAACAATAGATTTTTAATTAAAACATTTGAATCAAACAAATGTTAAGATATATTAACATTGAAGGCCCAAATTCTGTTTCATTCGTATTACCATAGTTCAAGGTGGCAGCGAGTTCCAATCCAATTATTCTGAGGTTCATGCTTTGCTTCACTTTACCTAGTCATGTGGTGACCAATGTTCACTCCCTATGAAGTCATAAGGTAGTCAAATATGATTGGAAACATAGTGTCATCATCACGTTGTTAGATTCATTATATAGTCCCTAAATTGAGAGTATGATGTAGGAAGAGAAAAAGAAATCTAAAAATGTGTTGCAGAAGTTTCAGGTCTGGGCTATAAAAAATTGGGGGGGAAAATGAAAAATCACATTTCTGGGAAATATTATTGTATGTGTTGAAATGTTCTTGCAGCCCTGAAATATTTGCAGAAAACATTTGGTACTGCAAAAGCAAAAGACAATGGCCTCGCTGATAGCGACAGCCTGCCTTCTGCCTATTTTCCTTTCTCATGCATGCATAGCTTTGTGTGTGGCCTTGTATAGTGGAGGCTGCTAAATCCAGGCACCTAGCTTGGTACCCTCTGCCCTATAATTTCAGGAACTGCAGGATGCTAATTACTGTCATTGAAGAGGAAGAAGTTATCTTTGCTGAAAACCTATGGCAATAATTTGGATTTTTCTAAACACCAAGCCTGGGAATAATATTGTAAATGTAAGATTTTCCTATGAATCTGGCATCCATCATTTCTATAGCTAATAGTTCCTGGAGCAAACACATTAGTCCAATTCTCATGTAACAATCCAAGTCTGGAAACTTTCCCCAAATCCATACTGTATTCAGCCTGATGATCCCTCGGTGATGTGATGTTGAGATGGCAGAGAACAAAACAAACTATATCCATATGGCTTGCTGGAATAATTTCTTTATTATCAATTCATCATCATAGTGATATAGTATTTTTGAAACATGGCTTTGGCTTCCTCTTTTTAATTTGATTAAATTTTAACTTCTTTGGTTAGGAATATTGCACCCACTTCAGACCCTCTTTTACTAATTTTGCTTGTGCCTTCTAGGTTGGATCCAGTATGCAGAGAGAGTCCTGCCCAGCACAGTAATCCCACATATTTGCACTGCGAAGTCACCACAGCAGATCATGGGTTCCCTCGTGAAGAATTATTTTGCCAGGCAACAGGTATGAGTTTGCAGCTTCTAATTTGGGCTTCTAACAGTTTTGAGAGCAAAATGTTACTTTCTCATTCTCTTCTCAGATGCTCGTTCGTGAAATTATTTTGTAAAGGGTTTTATCCATTTAGCGAATTTAGAATCTGGCTCTAGTAAATATGAGCTTTTGCAGAGCCTTCAGCCAACCTGGAACCCTTCTCTAACATCATCTTGTACTCCTGAGCAAGTGGGCTTCTGCTAGCACTCATCCCTTCCACTAAGTCATCTTGACGTTAAATGAAACGTTAGAGTGTGCATATGAAATCTTCCTGATAAAGAACAGCACAGTAAGTTTATTCACTGTTTTGAGTGATTTACTTGTCTGCTCTATTTTGGCTCCGTGGAAGATTTTGGTGCCAGCATTCCAGAATCTCCACATGTATAAGCAAACACCTATAAATAAAGAGCCCTGGGGGTAGAGGTTAGAATGCAGTATTGCAGCTGTCTCTGACCACAGCCAGGAGTTTGATCCTGACAAGACTCCAGGTTGACTCAACTTTTCATCCTTCCGACGTCTGTAAAATGAGGACCCAGATTATTGGAGGCAATATGCTGACGCCCCTCAGTGAGTGTTGCAAAGCACTATGTGTCAATTTGTAAAGCATTTCCATGTCTGTAATCTCTGGTGTATAAGTTTAAGTGCTATTGCTAAATTGAACTGTTATGTTGACCTGACGGTGCCCAGACAATTAACATTAAATCCTGTAATGCCAAGGTTTGGGTTGCAGGGCAAGGAAACATCTCCTTGATGACCTTCCTAATCTCCCTTCAATTTAGAATGGGATTTAGATTGCAATTATTTAAAATATTTAAATAACCTTCCATCACAGAGCACAACTCTAGGCGGTTCACAACAACAATAAAATAGCATCTACATTTAATAAAAGTACAAGTCATAAATTGTTCTGGAGCAAAAGAGTTTCAGTCCGGTACACCAGCCACTGCAGGAAGGGTTTTCATTTGTTCACGCTTTTCTAGATGATTTTCCAAGCAAGCTGTAGATTGAGCCTGGGGAAACCTATATGAAGGCCAACCAGGATAGATTA